AAGCTTTGGGTGTGTTTGAGCTCCATTTTCTCAGCACCAAATTTAGTTTGCACAGGCTCAGTGCTTTATCAGAGATGCCTCAGCTCCAAGGGGCTCTGAGGTTTGGGGGCTGCGTGGAGATCTCTCCTCTGTGTCACTGGTTCAGTCTTTAAAAGCCAAGAGTTGTCATGAGCTGATGGCTGTGTAATGGATTCCTCAAAAGCAGCTGGTATCACTGTCAAATTTATCAGGTTCTCATGTTTTATCTGGGATAGATTGGGTATCTGAACCTCACCCTCGAGGATTTCCCAGGCAGCTGCTGCCTGGCTTTGCTCCTCGGCGTGACTGAAAAGCCCTTAGAGCGGGTGCTGGCACCGAGTGTGAGCCCTCCCTGCAGCAGGGCAGGCATCGTGCCAGCAGGGGAAACGTCTGGGGAGAAATGGTGAGGATTTCTGGACTGCTCAGAAAATCCACTTTAAGTTTTCTGCAAGTCCAGTTCGATGGGGTTTGGCAATTTCACGTTCTCATCATGGAAGAGACTTCAAGAGAGACTCCTCCTGTCCCCAGATTAAACTGCCCCCCCCCTTTTTTTTTTTTTGGTGGAATCTTGTTCTCTGAATTGTTTAGAGAGGCTACTAGAGCCCATGTGGGGTGATGGGAGGTATAAATTGCCATATATGTGGTTAGTAATTTGGCAACATTTCCCTGCAGCCAGGGCTACAGATGTGATAGACTGGTGTTTGTTCTCCTTTTTATTTTGGCTTGCTTTAAACTTTTGGCTGCCTGAATTAATGCATTTCCTATTGATTCTCTAATGAAGACAGAGGCCTGAATTCATATGTTGCTTTTTTTATTTGCATTTTTACTACAGTCAGTCTCATTTCCTCGTTGCTGAAGGCCATCAGTGAAGAGCTGGATGACTTGTCTGTGGTTCTGCTTTTTGTAGTTTTCCAAAGCTCTATACATAATAAATGAGGCACCCTTTTTTGCTTCTGCAATTAACTAATCCACAATGTAAAAGGAGCAGTAGAATTGATTGAATACGTCAAGTTTTAAGCCTTAAGAAAAAAAATGCAACAAAATAATGAAACACTTCCATGGCGGTGATTTTCAAAATTGTTGTCCTTGTTCTTACAGAGATTTAGCCATGAAATTAGGATGAATAACAGATTTTGCCACCATGTCCCCCTCCAGTCAATCCTGACCTGTGCTTGAAATGAACTTTTGATGTGACACCTTCATCTCTGCAGCAGACAGGGCTTCATCTTTCTGTTTGTCCCACCTACAGACAACTCTTCTCTGCTTTCTTTAGGGTGAGTAGTCCAGCAGCAAACCAGCAGACAAGTTGCCTGGCATGGATAGCTTGGCTGTAGCAGTTCCATGGCCTGTGATTTTTTCCTTTATGGAGGCATCTCAGTCTTGTTGCTTTACCTTCCTTCCCTGAACAAGGAAGACTGAAGCAAAGGAAGGCTGAAGGACGTTTCTCAGCAATGTCTCTGAAGTTGCTGACTGGCACTGAGTCATGATAGTCACTCAAATCCACATTAAGCTGCATTTCAACAAGAAAGCATTTGAGCTCAGTCTGACCTATTTTCTGAAATAAGAATTTGAAAGTCCTCTCTTGCATAATGGGCTGTGTTGGCACAGCATCATGAAAGCAAAGTTGGATCCTGTGTTCCCTCTGTACCAGCAAAGTACTCCTCGGTCAAACTACTTCTGCTAAACTAAAACCCATTTTCTTTAAAATATGTTTGTCATTTATATGGTTAAAATAGTTTCCTTCCCTGTGATATTGTACCTATGAACTTCCCTTTTTTTTGTACAGAGAGCCACGGGCCATTTATCGTGCACTTCTTGCTCTCAGGTAATTCTGTTGTGGCTGACACGAATTCCTTTTGCAGTTCTGCTTTGCACAGTTCTGCTAGGGAGGCACTCTGCTCACACCCTCCAGCGTGCAGAACTCCTTGAAACCAACCCTTGCAGGAGGGAAAGCCTGGATGGGAAGAACGATGTTCACACCAGAATGATGTTGCACATTCCTTTTTTCACAGGAGCCCTTCAGTGGATGCTGCCTCTCACCTCAGCTCCTCCAAGGGGGAAGTTCCCCTCCAGGATTAGGTGCTGGAGGCAGGTCCTTTAGCGCTCCTGCACACTGGGCAGGCTGAATGGATGGGACAGGGGATTTTATATTTCTGTAAAAGGAGCTTATTTAAGTTCATATTGGCAAAATACACAATAGTAACTGCACTACCTGCAGTTATTTCTCTGCAACATCCCTCCACCAAGTGCTGGAATTTCCTCCAAACAGAAGAAGAGCGTTGGCAGTTCCAGCTCTGTGTAATTGTTTCCCAGCATCCAAGTACACCTACAAAACATTGCCTGCAGCACAACACTGGAGATGATTAAAAGAATGTTTTTTTTTTTTGCAAGGATAAAAGATTTTATAGCTCTTTGGTAAATGTAAAAATATTAATTGAATGAAGTATTAATTGTCAGTAGAAGAACAAATGTAGCTTAAGAAGTATGTAAAGATGTTGGAATTTACAAATGAGCTGGTAATGTAGGAAGTATAAAACACTAAAAATACTTAATTAAAACATACACATTTGAAGAGGAAAAGAATCAGTAATTTCAAGTAGTCTTCATTTTAATAGATATTTCCTGAACTTCACTGAGCCTGATTGTTTCATGTTGCAAATAATTCGTGTTCACCCTATTTTTTTATTTATTAAGCAATGCCATTTTTGCTGCTTGTTTGCCTCTCTCAGAACCTTCTTTCTAATATCAAGTGAAGAGCAGCTTCCACGGAAAGTGTGTATAGAATTTGGGGATCATTTCACACCTCTGAATGTGATGGACGTTACAGTAAGGACTAAACACATTCTGGTGATCAAACCCAAAGTAGGAAACAACTACTCAGGGAAAGTGAAGGTGAGTTTTGCTTGGTTGTGACAATGAAAACTGGCCAATTACTTCAGCATTTAACAGCTCGGGAGGTTAGGACAAAAGTCACAGTAATTTTTTCCTCTGGACTGCCCTGGGTTAATCCCTTGGTGCACTGTGGCAGGTCTTCAGAGCCTTGACACTGCCCTGGCCCTGCTGGCCCTGCAGATGTAACACAGAGGGAGAGCTGCCCTCTCTAATCTCTGATGAGGAAAGCATTTATTTTTACTGGTAAGAGCGAGCTCTCTCTTAAACTGTCACAGCCTGGGTCAGGAAAGCTTTAGGTCCCGTTTCCTTGGGAGCTGCTTTGCCCCTCCTCTGGGGATTAGCTAGGCATTAGTCATGGCTTTGCTGGGACCTCTCTTTGCCCTTTCCAAATAAATGGCTTTGGAAGAGGAGGGCAGGGCTGTGAGTCTTGGAAGGGATGAGGCACCTTCTGGCCAAGCTCTGCTTGGGCTGGCTGATTTACAGAGCTGGGAGGAAGCTCTGGGGAGCCCATCTCCCACGGCTGAGCAGGAGGGCAGCTGATCTCATTTTGCCCTGGGACTGCTGGGTGATAGTGGGGCTGAGGCTTGGTCCCTGTGGAGGCTGTGTCAGAGGGGAGAACAGGCACAGCCTCATGTGCAGGGCAGAGAGACATTGTTCCCTCCATGCCATCTCATCAACTTGTTAGGAAGTATTCATTAAAAACCATCATGTTTGTTTTTATGCTCCTCTCCTCATTCTGAAACAAATGCCAGAAATCCTCCCTAGCCAGGAGAGGAAAAGGCCCTATTCCTTATCTTACAGCCAGTGGAGAAGGTCCGAGGGCTGTGGTCACCATCATCAGATGTGAACATCAGAGCAGCGCTGCTGGCAGGATGGGGGACCTTACCTGATCTCTTCCCATGGTGATGTCACTGCAGAAGGCCTGATGGACAGTGTGAGCAAAATCCTGCATGGTGAATTTTTCTGTACTTGTCAGCATGTTTTACTAATGAAAGAAGAACTTATATAAGATATGGAAACCAGTGGGAGTGTTTTGACACTGACTTAGAAAGACCAGGATTTCACCCCATGGTTCTTCAGTTACTTTTCTGAGTTTTTGCTGGGTTTTTTTCCCTGTTTTCACTGTCTTCTCCATGCACTTTTTTCATTTTGAACAGGAAATATTTGCTGCTGTCAGGCCCAGGGCAGCCAGGGACTCCTCCAAGGTACTCTGCCCATCAGAATGGTTTATTTCAGAGATGGGAAGTGCTGAGATACTTGGATAATGGAATCTCAAGGTATTTGTTCCCCTCTCTTTACCAGCATGTGCTGGGTTCCTGAGTTAGTCACGTGGAGCTGATGGATGTTTGGCTTTAATTCCTGTGCACATCTGTTTTTGAAAACTGCACTGGAACAGCCTCTACAATGGCAATGCCGTGTTTTGTTCTCAGAATAATTGAGGTTCTGGTGCCATTGCTCAGACCCAGGGCTGGGCTGACCTCTGCTTAGGGAGTGGGGATGAGGCTTCCACTGCCAGTCCATCTCCCATTTGGCCCTACACCTCTGGAAAAGGGGAGGGAGCATATTGAAAAGGAACAACACAATAACATCTTCCCAGTGACCTGCCATTACCCTCTGTGTCTTTGGTAGCTTAAAGCAATGTTGCACATGAACAAAGATCAGCAAATACTTTTCCAAAGGCAGTCAGAAACTGTTGTTCTTTATCAGCTCAGATCTTTGCTGCCTGGGGCTATCTGAATCATTCTTGCTAAAGTCTAAGGGTGATTTCCTTTCTCTCGCTATGAAAAGTTTACACTTAAAAGGCTCATGCATGAAGGACCAAAAGACATTTAGTTTGGCTGCAGAGTAAAATAGTTTAGTGTTTTCATTGCTTCATTACTTTGTGCTGGTTGTTACAAACCAGCTTCCTCACAGCTACTGCTGCTGCTGAAATCTGTGCTGGGTCCCTGCACATGACACGTGCTGCAAAGTGTTCAGTTTGCACCAATTGTTGCCTGTGCTGGAACAGCCAACATGCAAAAAAAAATATCTCTCTTCTCCAATTCACGTCTAAATTTGTGTTATGTGGGTGTTTGTCTGTATTTTCCTATTCTAGTGTCTCTGAAGACATCTGACAGGGCAAGAGGAAGCAGCAGGGATGCAAGAAGGAGAGGTGAGGGAGGCCGTGAGGAGGGATGAGATGCTTGGGGAGCATGGTCAGAGGCACAGCAAAGTAAACCTCAGAGAGGAAAGGGATGGAGAAATGGGTCCCTTTTTCTGACCCAGGCAAGGTGCATTCCTGGCATCCTGGTGCACTGGTTCTGTATGTCCCAGTCCTCCCTCCTCTGGTTATTCTGAATGTGTGTTGCCAGTGAGGGTTAAGTGTCACATTAACACAAGATTTGTAGAGAGAGATAAAACCTTTTATTAGACAGAGACATGGTCAAGGAAAAAAAAAAAAGGCATTTTATTGGGGTGTATAAGCCTGTCCTTGCTGTAAGCATCAGGCTCCAGGACATGGTTATCCTTCACATGGCAGCTCTGGGAGATTGACAGGTAACAACAGCAGCCAGGTTGGTAAAACTTTCTGCAGCTTTAGTGTCCATAGCATCTTGCTTGCTTTCCTTGAAAATGCTTTTCCTTAACTCTTCTTTTTCATTTCAGCCTTAAAATTGGTTGGAAAATTAGATTTTATTGATGGGAGAATTGCACGTAAGCCTTTGCTTTCAGAATTGCACATAAGCCTTTTCCTTCACCTGTGTTTTCAATGGAAATAAGTCTACTGCAACCACACTTCTTTTTCTGGTGGTTTGGGTCTTTTTGAATTGGTTATTCAGTGCAAACTGAAAAATAATAATAATTTCATTAAAGCTGAGGGTGTCCCTGAATATGTGCTTTTGTAGAAAATACCACTTTTCTTGGGGGGAGAAAAACATTTCACTGGAAAACTTCCAGCCTGTCTCGATTTGATTTTTGCTCTTTCTACATTTTGGCTCTGGTTCTCCATCAAATCATTTGGCTTTGTGTGTGCCCCCTTCCTCCCCATCTGCTGCACTCTAATGGGAAATAAATCTCCAAGCTCTTTTCTATTCCTTGCCATCCCATAGTCTTCTGCTCTCCCTGAGTCACTGAGATCATACATCTCCATTTATAAAACACTAAAAGTATCATTTATATTTTTTTTTCCCAGAATCCCTCTTGACCAGTGTCAGACACAGAAACACTGAGAAAATAAACCTCAAGGATAAAAAATATCCTTGTGGCTCTGTCTGCTGTAAGGATAAGATCCTTTTTCAATGAAGATGGATGCTCTGGCTTCCCTCCCTGCTCCAACCACTTTTTTGTCTCCCTCCCAAGCCAGTCTTGGGAGTGTTGGATGGGAGAGATGTTGTCTCTTGTGTGAGCAGTGCTGTGCTTTCCAGTCCAAACTTCTCCCTAGCAATTGGATCTGGGTAACTTGAGTTCCACACTCCAGGATATGCCTTGGACCGTGGCTTTCTTCTGCCCTGTTTTGTGTCAGCCTGGCAGGGACCCCTGAGTCAGGCTGGTGCTCTCCAGCAACCAGCAGGGTCAACATCATCCTGGATTCAGCAACATCCAGACATCCTGTTACCTACTGGGACCAGTGTGATCTGCTTAAGCCACCAGTTGATGTGCTCTGAGTTGCTGGAAAGCTTGGGTTCCTGATTGTTGAGGTGCTGAAGGTGCCCATACCTGAGCTAAGTGTTTAATGTAGGTTAGACCTTGGGCTGTGATGTCCTTCCTCTTCCCTGTGAGTGTGTCTCCTGTTGGCACATTCCATGGAAGCCATGTCAGCTTGTGATGGGGCATGCCAGGGTCACAGGGAACAGCTCTCCTGTGAGGAGAGGCTGAGAGAATTTGGATTGTTCAGCCTGGAGAAGAGAAGGCTCTGAGGTGACCTTTGGTACCTGAAGGAGCTCCAAGAGAGCTGGAGAGGGACTTTTGTCAATGGCATGGAGTGACAGACAAGGGGGAAAGGCTTCAAACTGACAGAAAGCAGGGTTAGGTTGGATATTGGGAAGAAATTCTTCCCTGTGTGGGTGGTGAGGCCCTGGCACAGGTTGCCCAGAGAAGCTGTGGCTGCCCCTGGATCCCTGGAAGTGTCCAAGGCCATGTTGGATGGGGCTTGGAGCAATTCGGTCTAGTGGAAGGTGTCCCTGCCCGTGGCACGGGGTGGAACTGGAAGATCTTTAAGGCCCCTTCCAACCCAAACCATTCTATGAACCAGACCCAGTTTCAGTGTCCAGCACAGCCTGGGGGAGTCAGGGAGCTGTCAGCATCCAAAGGCTGCTGAGAGATCCTTCCTCTAAGGAAAGGCACCACAACTTTCAGAGCTACCATTTGGCAGCACCCACTCTCCTGGCATTCCAGTGGATCTGGTTCATTTTCACCTGTCCCAAGCACATCCAGCTGCTACCAGAGGCACTGAGCTGCACTGAAGTGCAAAGGCAAAGGGAAGAAAGCATTCCATTCCTATCAGGTAGGTGAAAATTTGGGTTTCCTCCTGCTCTCTCCTGCCTCCTGGAGAACAGACTGTATGTAGAAGGTGACCTTTTGTCTCCTTCCTCCCCACCCCAGCCGAGGGCGATTAGGCTGACACATCTGATGACAGATAGATACCAGCATGAGCAAATTGTGCTTGAACTTGCTCCAGAGAAAATTGTTCCAGGGCAGGCACAGGCTGGGGCTGCATTAGGGAGAGCACAGATCACAGGCAAATGTTTGTGTCATTTGCAAACACCACTGCGAGGGGACGTGGATGAACAGATGAGCATTTTGAACTCTAAATGCTACAGGAGAGAACATGAAATAGTGCTCTGTGTTTGACTTTTGAAGGCTACTCTTTGGGGGAAGTCTGGATGAAATCAGATCAATCCCTACCACCTGGATTTTTTTTTTCCTTTCATCTTCTGTTTTACATTTTTAAATCTTTGTTTCTAAAGTTGACTTCTTGCTTGTTTGGTTTTGATGGGTTTTTTATTTGTCCCACAAGAAATTTCTGAATTCTTGATATTCACCAAAATTTTAGTTAATGCATATGCTGAATCTTCATAGTATGAGTGGAAATTAGGAAGGATAGATATGGAAGAATTTTAAAGGTGTAGAAACTGTTTGTGAAAATAAAACTCTGATCACAAGTCCCACATGCAAAAAAAAAAAAAAATTAAATGCAAGAACTTTGAAAGCATATCCTTGCCTGTCCAAATAGCATTTCCAGGCTAACCTGCAGGAAAGCCCCAGTAACTCATTAACTCACCAGAATTTAATGAAGAACTGTGTGTTCTGGTCACATCCATCATTCTGCTACTCTGGTCTGAACAAATTCAGTGTCTTGTGAGGATGCACAAACCTGAACCCTGCAGAGTCTGCTCTCAGGGCAGTGGAAATTTCCTTCCTGGCATCTTATTTGAAGACATAAAGAATATTTTGGAATTAAATGAGTACCATACTGACGGTCTCCCAGTCATGCCAACACCGTGCCTCTCCATCCTTTGACCTCAGAAAGGCAACCACAGTCCAGATGACAGCTCTGTCCCCGAGGCTGCAGACAGAACACTGGAAATACCTGACTTCTCCACGATAAGTTTGGCAAACCAGGTAATTGCATGCCAGTCCCGCAGGTTTCATTAGTCTGTCTGTGTCCATGGCAGGCTGATCCTGCCTCTCTCCTCAGCAGTGGCTGCACTCCAGCACCATCCATCTCTCGCTGTCCCCTTGGCTGCAGAGCCCAGGGTTTTAATAGACGTGGCCTCAACAGGTTCAACAGGTGCCTGGTGGAAGGAGCAAAGCTGCATCTCTGAGCATCCTGGACAGCTCTGAACATCCTGGAGGATGGATGGGCATTTGGCAGCCTCAGAAATTATTGTCTTTCAGAGGATGGAGGGGTCTTGTGTTGCCACAAGGAGAGAGACAGATCATTAATGTGGTACGTGCTTGATCCCAAAATATTCCTCGTGCCTTAAAATAAGATGCCTGGAAGGAAGTTCCCTTCCTGCAGCCCCCCCCGGTGTCGCTGCAGCAGCTCCAGCTGCTCACAGCACCCTCAGCCAGGTCACCCCAGGGTGGTGTGGGCTCACCCCCATCCCCTTGGGTGGGTGGGAGGCAGGATTTCAGTGCCTGTGGCAGCCTGGCCCTGGGGAGGGGAGCTCTGACGGTGATGTGGGAGGACTTGTTTTATTTGCAACAGCCCAGGATTGCCATTGTTGAGATGGTCCCAGCCACTGCTTGTTCCCAGTGCCCAGAGAGCAGCCTGGAGCCTGTGCCAGCAGCCTGGGCAGCTGTGTTGGAGACAGCAAAATGCCCAGAAATGTATGTTATGGCTGGGAAGGTTTGTGTGTAGGCCTTGTCCCACTGATGGGCTGTTATGGGAAATAACACCTTGATGTTGAAAGCCTTAAACGCTCCTCAGGCATTTTGACAGTGCTGCATGGCTTCTCCTTAGGCTGCTGAAGCAACATTTGCTTTCAGCTCATAAACCCCAATTTATTTGGTATTGGTTTGTTTTCTTTGGGCATTGATGCTGTTGTGGAAAAACAACCCATCCTCCTGGAGTGCCTTAGTGGGCTGCAGGAAAGTCTCCTGTTGTTTCATGGTGTCTTCAAGGTCTTTCCTGGATGCATCCTACCTCTGGAACCAGGTTCTTGCCTGGTGTTTGTGCATTCAGTGTCCTGGGGGGTCTGGGCTGGGGCAGAGGAAGGGTTTCAAATGGCTTATGAGTTCTATGGCAGCTGCAAACAGCTTATGGAAGATGGTGGTGAGACAATATCCTGTAGTTTAGTTCACTTCTGCCTTCTCAAACTCCAGCTTACATTTAAAACCAATCTAACAGCTCATCCAAACAAGTATCCAGCCTCTTGCCTTTGTTCCTTCCACCCCTTCTTGTTCATCTCATTTCATCCTCCCTCACCTGTTTTCTCTGCACCTGGCTCTGAGCTGCTCCAGGCCATGATGAGCCACCACACATTCCTGTCAGCAATTTCAAAGGATTTTTTGGATGCCAGTGCTTTTGGGGTGCTTTTCTCCAAAAATACCTTTGCTCCAGTAGGAGTCCTGTGAGTTGGGAGGCACTGGTGACATTTTCAAAAGGACCTGTGTAGTGTAGGAGCTCAATGAACAGCAGTAAAGAGATGTGCCTTGATCCCTTATATGGTATTTAAAATCACTGCCTGCTGTCTTGATGCAATCCAGGCAGATGATTAAACATCTATATATGAGGATTTGCATTTATCTTCTGCAGTCCAAAGCAGAAAATGATCTGTTTGTGGAGACAGTGAGGTTGCTGTGTTTGTGGTTGCTGAATGAGTTTTCTGTTGGATTGGAAATGTAGTTTGGTGAGAAGTACTCAGGGAATAGAGATTTGGGGTGGAGTAAAAGTGTGGTTTTCCATCTGTTTGATCAGAAGATCAACATGAGTGTTTTCAGGAAATAACTTTCCTTCCCAGAAGAAGCAAAACTTTGAAGCAGATTCTAAAAGCCATGGTTTCTTTCCAGAACTGCCGCGGACCAAGCTGTAGACCAGGGGTTGTGTGAATGTGAAGCTTCTCTAGAATTGCTGTATGACTGACTAAACTAGCTAAAACCCTCTCCCTGGAGGCAATGACACTCCACTGATGAACCACAGCACTGAAGGTTGTGAGCCAGGGAGAGGGTTGCTGGGATGTCTGAACAGGTGGAGCAGAGGACGGTTAGAAACCATCCAGTTATGGGAAATCTGAGTCATGAAATCCATTGGATAAATTTAAATACATTATTCTAGCTTGGAGGAGGAGACCATCTGGGTAAGTAGAAGGATGTGTGTCTTGCTGAGGGGAGAGTTATTTCAAATGACAAAAGAACTGTCCTGAGCCTGAAAGATCTGCCAGACCCAAGATAAAAAAAACAGCTTAGAATGACACTGATTCAATGTTTGCATATCAAGAATCCAGCTAAGGGGTATAATGTTAAAGTATTTTTAAAAGACTTCTGCTGGTATTCACCAGCTGTATAAAGCAGGAAGTCCAGGAACTTTCATCAGAACTTCATATTATAATATCCCTTTTAGAGATTTTTAAAGAAATCTTGTATTTGAACTCCAAATTCCACGATGGCCCTGCTTTAAACAAAAAGCTGGGAATGAAACAGGAGGATCTCCCTTCAGCCATATTGCAGTGGGCTCAGACAGGCTGGTGAGACAACCTGGCTTTTAACTTGGTTTTGAGAGCTAAGGCTCTGGTTTGCCACTTGGCTCATCCCTGAGGGTCAGGGTGAGTGGCTGGGTAGCCAGGTGGCCTCCTGGTGAATGTCCCCCATCTGTGTTTGCCCAGGACCTGCTGCCACAGGACACAGAGCACACACAGCCTGGTGTTCTGGCTCTGCCTCCTGGCACTCACACTGGCTTCCAGCAGCAGGTACCCTGTGTGCTGCACTGTGCTCAGGGAGACTCCAATCCAGCTCTATCCATTTTCACAAAGAGCAGGTCCTCATGGCAGAATGAGACACATCTGGAAAATGGGAGAGGCAGAAGGAGAGAGATGTGCTGGTTGACCCACGTAAGGATGGAAAGTAGGCTGAGTAGCTCATGATTTGCCCGACACTGAGCTGTGGTTGAGGCTGAGGAAATGTGAAGGAAACAAGCTGAAAACAATGGCTCAATCCCTCTGGTCATGCTGATGGACTGATCATCTCCTGTCATCCTGTCAGGAATGACCTGCAGAGCTTGCTGGCACCACCACTTCTGGAAATCCTGGGACAACAGCAGCCCCCAGAGATCTGCCCCTGTGCCAAGCATGGAGCAGAGACTGCCAAGGTCTGCAGGGGGGATCCAGGTCTGGTGCCATGGCAGAACAGGACTTGCAAAAAACAACCATGCAGGTACTGCTGCAAAGGCCCCTGGGGCTTCCTCTCCACCCTTGCTTTAGGCAGCCATGATAATTCTGAGTTTTATTATATTTTTTACAAGCATAGATCTCAAAACCCTATGGTACAGACTCATCATTACCATCTTACAGATGGGGTTGCTGAAGCATAAAGAAGGGAAATGACTTCCCTGGAACCATTAACTGGGCAAATGACAGGGCTAAAAATAGAGACCAACCTTTCATACAACACAACTGCCATTCCCATCTCAGAGAAGAGATGCCAAGGAAGTTGGTTAAAGCAGTAACAACTATTTAACCCATGCAGAACCTCGATGCTCTTGGTAAGATGTTTTCATGAGATGCTCCACCAAAAACACTCCAACGAGCCAACACTTTTTTGGAGAAAAAATGGTTGACAGAAAGGACAGCAAGCCACATATGGCTGTAGTGCATGTCAGTCACACAAACCCTAATGTGTTCAGAAGTTCCAAATGCCTTTTAAAGCTAATGGTCTGTGCACTAATAGCTCCTGGCCCTGGCATCCAGGCTGGCAGCTGGTGCCCCTAATTGGTAGCCCCGAGGACGAGCACGTGGGCAGGCAACTGGATTTCAGGAGCAGCAAATGGATTGGGATCCCTGCCTTGCTAATTCCATCCTTCAGCATGGTCTTTAATCAAGATGAAAAGTCAAAAGACCGCGAGGGGGTAACGAACAGCAGCTCTGCCCGGTTACCGGCGTCCAGCTCACTCAGACCTGACAGGCATTGCCAGGAACAGCCAGGACAGCAACAGCTCATCAAACTGCCTGAGCTGCAGCTGTTCTTCTTCCCTGTGGTGCCTGCTGGACAAAGCTGGAAATAGCATCAGAGCATGACACGCCCGTCTCCGGCCTTTTTGGGGATGCAGCGTCAATTATTTGAGGGGTGGATGTCAAGTCGTATAAAAGCTTCCAAACACCTCCAGCTAAGCCCAGCAGAAGCAAACAGCCTGTCTGACATGGGCTTGTAACACCTACTAGTGATGGCATTAGCACCCCTCCTCCTTTTCTCCATCCTGGTCTCTGCCTGGTGGAGTGTGGAGGAGAATCACCCTGTAAGGCAGGGCCAGGGCAGAGAGAGCAAGAGCACTGAAATGGCTGAGGAAGGTTGTCAGGGAGCTGAAGCCGTTCAAGGAGGTGTCATGTATTGGTGAAGGCAGTGTGGAGTGATCCAGCCTGCAGCCAGAGGATGGCTTGAAAGCTGGTGTGTTGCCTCAGCTTAACAGAGCAATGGGTACCACCTGTTTCTGTGACAAGGCATCCTCTGGTGTCTGTTTTTAACACAACAGTTAAAGTTTCAATGTTCCCTGAGAAGACTAACACAATTAAAGTTAACCCATTCCAACACCCTTCGCCTCTGTCCCCTCAAGAGCTGGGCTGGCTCAGACATGGGAGTTGCAAAGTTCCTGCAGCTGCTGAGAATCTCCTGCTGATGCTCTGCACCTATCTAGCACCAGCTCCAGTCTCCTGGATGAATTGGGATAATTTCAGATTGCAATCTTTTGGGGAGACTCCTCCTGCCTTGCTGACTGAGGTTCTGCATTCCCCAGTTCCTGTCAGATCTCAGAACTCCTGTTATCTTCCCAGTAGCTTCTACTTATTTGTTCCAGATTGTACAGTGTAGACTGGAATGTCACAGTGAGATGCAGAAAGAGATCAGCAGCTCTAAGCATACTCATCATTAACCTTCCCACCATTCTCCAGAAATATCCTTCCCCACTCGGCTTGTGACTGAGTCTGAACCTTGCTCCAGATGGCAGTGGGCTGAGGAGAGGAAATTTTCCTGCAGTCAGAGCTCAGAGATACACAAAAGAGGGAAATTGTGAAATTGCAATGACAGGGTTGTTTGGGTAGCTTGTGATGTTCTGGCTTTAGAGAAATCCATGCCTAATGTGCCTGCATGGCAAGGTAAACTAAAGACCATATAATTCTATTTAAGCTTAACACAACGGGAAGAAACCCATGTCTCCCTGACTCCTGGCTGTCTGCAGGCATTACAGCTGGTTTCTACATGTGCTGCTCAGTCACTCCATGTTAAAGAGCTTAGGATAAAGAATTTCTGGGATTTGGTTACTACAGGGCTTAAAGGCCTGGCTCTGCCAGACTCACTTTCTTTGGATGACCAGGCACAGTGTGATCATTCAGGATTCATGGAGGGGAGTGTCTCCATGGTCCTTGCACCACCCCATCCTTTCTCCCTGCTCCCCTGCTGCTGTAAAGATGAATTTTCCTGCTTCTTTTTTGCTGGTTGTCACAAAGCTGAGCCTGAGATGAGGGAGGAAACCCCTCCCAGAAGCCAGGCTGGAGCTGTGAACGGAGTTTGTTTCATGCAGTGACAGGATAAGAACCTGGGATTTGGAGAGCTGGAGTGAACTGCTTGTTAGGCAAGACAGGCACAAGGGGCTGGTGCCTTACAGAGCTGGAGGCTCAACAAGGACTAAGGAAGCAGTTCCCAACACTGTGAGATGTGGTGCTGCATTTCTCTATCATGATCTGGGTGTCCCATAGGAGAGGCTGAATTCCTTGGAGCTGGTGGACACCAGGCACACCTTGAACTCTCTCCAACCTCTACTTCTCCTCTCTTCATTTCTCCTGTTACTTCTCATCCACTGCATTTGTCACTGCATTTTGTCTCCCCACCTTCCTGCTTTTTCTCCTGATCTTTGCAGTCCTGTTTCCAAGCCTGGAACATTCAGGAATATTTGAGCTCAGCAAATATTTTCTCTTTTGTTCTGTGTGGGACTTCTTAAAAGGTTAGCTGTGTTTTAATGCAGCATCATGAGTAGCAGTGTGTTAAAGTTAGAGCATCGCATATTAAACATGCAAACAGATACTTTTCACAAAAGCTGCCTCATCTTTCGCTGTATATTAATAATGCAGGGAGTTCTAGATCATCTGTCCCTGTCAGTGCTGCTGCATTTTGATACACTCACAAGGACTGGCTGTTAGAGAGCAAAATACACGAGGATGTTCCCTGACCTTTTCTCTCCTCTGCACCTGTAAATTACAGAGATCCTGTACAGGCAACCCAGACTGCATCCTGACAGCAATATTTTGGTAATGTCCACGTGGGGAGTCTGGATATAACCTAGTATGGAGTGAATGCTATTCTGAAAGGTTATGTTAGTGCAGACCTCGGTGATCCCCTGAATTACTTATAGGATCCTCTTCTGTGCCAAACAGTGAAACCTAATTCCCATTCACACTTCTGATCTCTGTCTCACATCCCTGCAGGCATCCAGCACTGGACACAGTCCTACCTGGAAAACTGTAGGACAGTAGAAAGGAGGCAGCAGCGAACTGGGGAGTTTATTTAGTCCCTGAGGTTGCAGTGGGCTTCCACAGGACGATGTAGATTTTGGAAGCCTGGCTCTGTGAAGTGGTGTATGTCTCCCATAACAACACTTTTTGTTGAAAAGGTAGGAAGGAGCTGCACTTCTGAGCTCCAAAAGTGGGCAGAGGCTGCACAGATGGGGTGGGTTGGCAGCCTACAGCTCCCAGCTACTGCTGAGACCCCCCCAGGGAGGGTGTCTGTCCTGTCTCTACAGGAGTGACTCAGGCCCTAAGAACTTGGGCACTCTCCCTATGCCCTGCAATGTGTTTTCCTTCATGAAATTCAGCTCTCCTCATTTGGGTACCTGCAGGTGGCAGGACTGAAGTGGATGTGGCACCCCTTTTCACCATCATCCACGCTAACAGGGCTGGCCTTGGTCACTGTTTGCAGGCTAACAGTGTGGAAAGGTGGGGTCCCAGGGTCTCCCCTCCTGCTGGCAGGCACAGCTACCACCTGCCTGTGTGGGCAAACACTGGCAGCTGCCGTTGAAATGCTCAGCTTCCCTTGCTCCAAAAGCCCCAGTGTTATTCCAAATGCCACAGTGACAAACACTCCTCCTTTGGCCTCTGTTATATTCCCGGAGTCCACGGTGGCAGCAGGAGCTCAGCTCAGGGAGGGGTTTTCCCTCGTTCCCAGCTGGAGCTGTGCCCAGCCTGTGTGGGGTGAGCAGGAGGAGAGCCGTGTCCCCAGGGGGCAGCTCATGGGAGAGGTGACATTGCTGGAGAAATGCCCAGCACCCATGGGCAGAGTCACAGCCAGGGCACCAGGAGCCAGACCCCCAGCAACAGCCTGGGTGGGGCGAGGGGTGACTTTCTGCAGGGAAACACTCTCTGGAACAACCAGGACAAGGACTGAGTCTCCCAGAGCCCTCCCAGGCACTGGCACATTGTAGCCCCCAGACTGATGTAATTAATGAGACATCCTGCTTTATGTAATAACGTGTTTTGTGTGAGTCACCCTAATGAACAAAAACAATACGATGTGCCGCCTAATGGGACTCCTGGTCTTTATGTCCCAGTGCTTGCTATGAATTATTTAAGACATCTGGAGGGATTTGTGAGTAATGAAATCTCTGCTGATTCTGTCTCACCTCAGATGGCCTCAAAGGTCTGGTTCAGCAGCTTTGGTTCTGTTTCAGACTCGCCCTTCACCTGCACGATGTGCAGCTTGAAAAGTTCCCCACGTTCTTGTCCTCTACTTTCACTTAGCTCTTGGCTGTGTTTCCCTTGCCCTTCCTCAGCTTAAAAAATAAGATATGCCTTTCCATGTCCCATGTCTGCCTTGGGTGAGCTAAATCTAGGTCTGTCGAAAGGAAGGGGATCTCATCCAGGGCAGTGTGTGCAAGGTGTGCTTAAACACTGTCTAATATTCAACCTCTTGGGTCTCACGACCCCTCTTCCTTGCAGGTGAGATCCTCAGAGCCAGAGAACCACAGCAGTCAGAGCTCTGAGTGCCCTTTGCTTTGATCTTGGCCAAACTTCAGACAGCCAAAGGTACCTGGAGATCCTTTGAAAACATGGATATAAAGTCTGTCATGGATAAGCCAATATGTGTCAGCCAAACCCATCAGCAGGCTCAAGGTAGGAAAAGTGGATGGGATGTACCAGCTACTAAACAGATTACATGATCTGTTGTAAATCAGAGGTTTGGTGGGTCTATGGTTGGTGCTTCTGTTGCAATAAAAATGTTTGTTGAAGGAAAAAAAAAAAGATGAAGAGAGGAGGAAGTACAGGACTTAGTGGTTTTGGTGTTCAAAGGAATGAGCAGATAAAGCATCTTCATGAAGGAGGAGGCTGGCAACCACGTTAATGGTAGAGGTTTTTGTTTAATTTTTGTTTTGTTTGGGGTTTTATTATTACAAAAAAAACCCAACAAACCAACAAAATGAACAAACAAACAAAAAAACCAAAACGAAATTCCCATTCACTTATTCACTTTTTCACCCTTCGCATGGAGGTTGCATTGCACTCCTAGAATTTGAGGCTGTGTAAACACATTCTGCAGCCTTGGAACGAAGAGCCTGAAGAGAACGTTGGGAAGATTAAAGATTGCTTCCAGAGGATGGATGTGAGCAGACAGCTGGGATTTCCCAGGGCTGGGAGCTGGTGCAGAGCCTCAGCACTTTGTAGCAGCTCTGGATCTGCCGCTGCCAATGGCCAAAGGGAACAAACCCAAACATCTGCCACCCATGGCTTCTGACCAGAGAGGGGCAATCCTCCTCACTCCAGAGATGAGAGGCTGATGCAAAGCACTTTGTGCCCTGCTTTTGCTGACATGAGAAGGGCACAGATGTGAGGGAAGTGTTTCTCTTTTTAGGAGCCTGCCCAAGTTTACAAGCCCACAACAGAGCAATGGAGAGGGAACGAGTCTCCTTTGAAGGAAGTCAGTTTAGAGGTTTTTGTGGAAGCCAAAGTGAGAGTGGGTGTTGCAGTGGTGCCATGAGTGGGGTGCTGACACAAACTGCAGTGCCACTGGACACAAATGCCCTGAGCTCTTGGCCCTTTCTCTCATTGGGTGCACGTTGCCTAATCCTAAAATATCTAACCTGTCATGCTCAGAAAAAGCAGTTTGGGGGGCAACCTTGAAACACCTGTCCTTAAAGAGCAGTGGCTGTTAGAAGTACACAAATTAAGCAGGTGTGGTGGGATATTTTTATCCCCTTTCCATGAGTAGGAGGATTTAAGAACACTTGAAAAACAGAAACAATATTAGTTTTAAGTACAACAATTTAAATAGCTCATAATTTTTCTACAGCCATCAGAGGTCAGATTTTTGTAGGGTCCAAACCTTTGTCTCGCATTTAAGGTCACAGAAAGGACTTTAAAGGAGGAGCCAAGGGGGTGTGAGTGGTCAAGGTGGGTGGTGGGAGCATGTCCTGGATGATGGCTTGGCCTTTGGTAGTGGTTATCTATCACTATTAGTTAAAGAAGTCTGAAGTGTTTTTAATTCCAGCAGAAGCCATATCAAGAAGGGTGGTAAAATCTACATCTCAGCTTTCCTGATGTTCCTGAGCCAGCACTGTAAAGGATTTAAAGAATGACTCCATACAAATGGTCTTAAACAGACATCCTCCTATGATCACCTTCTCACTCCTCCTCTCATCAAACAACCTTCAAGAAAATTAACCTATCCTTGCATGCATAGTTAAAAAGAATGCAAATAATCATGTTAACAAGATTTATGTTTATTCCTGGTATAAATTTCCCCACTAGGGAAGTTTGTCTTAATCTCTACAACAGACTGCAAATGCTTTGGCCCATAGATTGATGGGCTCTGTGAATTACCAGGCCTTAGTCAGAGGATGACTTGGCTCTGCTCCCCTGAAAGCAGTAGAAACATATGGGATATTATGGGAAGAAAATTTTCTTAAAAAAACTCCCAAGGCTCTGAGAACACCATGATTGCTAATTCTTCCCAAGATGCAAAGTTTAAAAACAATTAGATGGAGGCACAAACTGTGCTGGCAAATCCAACTCCATGTGCACAGTTTTTCTCTTTGCAATTGCAAATTGAACGGTGAGTTGAAACTCTCCCCTGTGGAAAAGGGGAAAGCACAAAGGCTTCTGCCCCTCTAAAATCTTGTTTGTCTCTGTGGTGCTTACAGAGCCCTCATTAACGAAGTATTTAAGCATGTTACAACCTAACTGCAGCCCAGGAGAGCAGCATTCATTTTGCAGGCACAAATTGGAGTTACAGGAGCTGTGTTAACACTTACCTTGGCTCAGCTGTCCTGGGAGCAGCCGCCTGCAGCATCCCAAAACTCCAACCTTATGGGCAGGCTGTGCTGCAACCCCATCTGCTGCTGTGGAAGGTAACAAGGATCCCTTGGAAAGATCCTTCTAAGATCCTTGGGCCATTTTATCTCCCCAGCCTCAGTCATTAGGAGACCCTTACACAGCAGATATGTGGGGGACAGGCACAGCCCTGGGGGCCCATCTGCCTGGGCAGAGACAAATATGTTCTTTCTGGGGGCTCTTAATCTTTCTCCATAACTATTTTTACACCCATTTTGTGCCTCTAAGTAACAGGGAGTAAAAGGATATAAAGTGACTTTAATATAATTGAGAATAAAGTCCTGTAGGTCCCAAGAGGTTTTAGCAAACTCATCAACATGTGCTAATTAGAGGTGCTAGTGTTTGTGTGTATGGATAATGCAGTTTCTGTAAAAAGATAATTTTCTATCAAAAAAAAATTAAATCAAATCAATGCATTTTGTCAAGAAGATTTAAGTGAAACATATCATTCCAGTCCAGTGGATCCAGATCGAACTATCTTGGCATATTAAGTCAAATCAAAACATGTCATTTGCAGTGAATTCAATCTCTCTTTGTGTTTGCAGAGCTGGTTCAGTGCCTGCAGGAGCTGTAGGTCAGATCTTGTGTGACATCCTACTGCTGCCTGAGAGTGTGGTGGCTCGTGTCCCTCCCCAGGCTTCGTCTGGCCAGGCAGAAGAGAGGGACAGACAGTCCCCCCAAGGATCTGGGAGATGGTGTGTGGTTTTTTGAAGGCTCAGGTGGAGGTAAAGCTGCTCAGCAAGGCAAAACTTTTTGATTTATGTAGGTAGAAATGTTTCTAAACAAAACACGTTCAGGTAATCAGATTTTCTGATGGATGGGAGCTCCAGTTTGCAATATTCTCTAACCACACTTGCCTATGACTCATACTTGATTTGCTTTTTCTTTAGGCAAAACTCCCTCTGTGCTACACCTTGCTGTGTTCTGGGCTGAACCAGCCCAGGCCAGACCAGGAGAGATGTGTTAGAACCCCCTTTTTTTTCCAAATCCCGAAATATTTTCAGATTCAGCCATATCTGAACTCCTTTCCTTTCTTCATCTCCTAATTTTCACGGGCACTTCTGCAGCTGTAGACTTGCACAGATACTTGAAACCACACCATTTACAGCACCACTAATAACAGGTGTCTGCCAGACTCAGAATGAGCAGTCTGTGTGCATCTTATGGACTGACAGTCAGATCTACCTCTGAGCTACCTTCTTTAAGTCCATGAAATCCTCTGGATCTCCGTGAATTTGCCTAAATATAAATCTGAAGCTCACTGTGCATGAATCAAGTTGAGCCAGTCCACCTAATTAAGCAAGGGCTTCTCCCACCCACAATGTTTGTGAACACTGGTCGTGTCCAAGTGAAATGACAACTGACTTTAATCCAAGCTCTGCCCCCTGTGAACAGCAAAGCTCCAAGGGCTGCTCACAGGTTCTGGTTCTGTTCCCCAACCATGGCATTAAAGCTGTGAGGGGTTGGGATGGCTGACAACCACTGGGTTTGCCTGAGCAAATGAGTGATGCTGACTTTCTCTCCCAGGCCCACTGGGTGCTGGGTGTGATTAAAGACAAGCCAAGAAGGACTGTGTGCTATTAATTCTATCGAGGAAATCTCCTGTGTTATTCATTAGATGTATGTGGCTTATTCTGGGGGGAGAGGAAATAGAAAAGCACCTTTGGTTGTGTTGTAACATCTGTGAGTACAGCTGGCTCTTTTTCTCTGTGTTCCACTTATTATGTGCAATTTGGATGTTTTCTTCTCCAAACTCAGATAAAAAAAAAAAAAAAAAACCAACACAGCTCTAAAGAGGAGAAACTTGCAGTGCTTGTTATTACCAGGGCAAAACTCCCACTCCTGTAGCAGAGACAGGAATGAGCAAGCTCTTGTTCAGCCTTGGCTGTAATATCTGCTGTTATTTGTCAGCCTGCACATAATCAGGTAATTTAATGTAATTCCTACGCTTTCAATCAGGTCTGGTGAGCAGCTGGCAGAACTCAAGCCTATAGATTTTGTCTAATGGCACAGTCTGATTCCAGACCCAAAGCTGGCTGACAGTGCTGTCTCTGTGTCCACAGCAGAGCCCAGCTCTGCTTCTGCCACTGCAGCCTGGGCTTGGGAATGGGGAGACTCCAGGCTGGGATGGGATCACCTCCATCCTGCAGGCAGCCTCACCTGGATGGAAATGAGATTAAACACCTTCTGCCTTGTTAAATGGCTTGAACTGTGTCTTGCTGAGGAGAAGGAGCAAATACAAGGGGATGAAGGAGCACAGATGTCTGGGTTTTGTATGAACTTTGCTCTATCTTGATTCCTAAGTTTGATCAAGAAATGTGATGCTCCATGTCTTATTTCTCCTGTCACTGAAAAGCAGCAACACGCCCCTTCCACACTGAAGAAGATGTAAAGCTTAACCCCCAAATGACCGTGAAATGGTTTAATGAAAAATAGTGAGGAAATTTGAAATGTTCATTATTGGGCAAGATTTGAGCATCCTTTTCCAGACAGCTGCTCCAAATTCAGGTTTTGCCTTTAAAACAGGGGAAGCCTTGTGTGTGTGCTGCCTGTGTGCAGAGAGGAAGGCAGACCAGCTCCCCTTGAGAAGTGTGGCTCCACCAGCCTCCTTGGGGAAGCACAGCCTGGCCCATCTGCTGCTCCAGAGCTGGGCTTTAATAGCTGGATCTCAGAACAGATGAGGTCTCCTTCCAACCCTGCCTGGCTCACTGCTGCCTGAATCCTCCTGTTTGCCCCTGGCTTTCCTCCTTGCCTGACTGGCGTGTCCAGCTCCAAGTTCA